AGTCTTCACCAAGCAGAGGAGTATAGGTCTAAATGCAGCCCCAGAGGCAATTTGAGATTATTTGGGTATGTAACAGGAGTTGAGAGCTGGGGCTGCTATAAATAGGGACCAAAGTGCCATTTGAGCACTTGTTACAGGCCGTAGGGAAAGAAAGAACATGATCTGGTGTCACCCCAGTTGTCCCCAGAGATGCTGGAAACTCAGACCTAGAAAAAAGCTAAATCAGCACAAAAAGCATGTGCCAAGCAGATGAGGTTACCCAGGAAACACTGAAGAGAAGTGGTGAATTTGGAGCAATTAGTAGAGCCTTCTCGTGCAGCCCTGGGAAAGATGAAGCTGTGCTCAATGGAGTTCAGATGAAGGGGTGAAGATTATGGGTAAACAACAATAACCTGGAGCTTATCTAAGAAATATTAAGTAGGTTTAGACTATAGAGTTGGATGTCAAGAACTGAAGATAACCTTGAAAACACAATGAAGTGGGTTTATTTTATTTTTTACCTTAATGTTCTTCACTTAGAATCCAGTTCTGATTCTAATTTACTGTGTGTATAATTTAAGGGAGAAACATTATACACACCTCTATAAAAAGGGCTGATGTGCTCTGTATGATTTAAATATATATTTTGTAACTCTTCAGTACCACTGACTGCAATCAGAGGACTGATAAACATAGGTGTCAAGGAGGAAGACTGTAGGGTAGTCTCAGAACACCAGATGAGTGTTTCAGTGGCACATGGACAGAAGCCTTCCCGCATACAAAGTACAGCTCAAAAGGGCATCACTCAGTGTGCCAAGGGAAGGAAAAGCCAAAGCTAAGGCAGTAGTCAGATTCCCCATCCTCCACTTGTGCTACAGAGAACTGTAAAGCATAGACACAGAGCGAATGGAAAAGCCTCAAAAAAGTAAGAAGAGTATGAATACTCGCCACAAGCATTACTATACACAGCAGATGCCTGATTCAAGAGAATCACAGCTTCCTACCTCCCCCAAAACAGGTTCTTTCACTGGTCTGGACCTTGCCAAGTCAGCTAGGCTGGTTGACCAGCAAGCCCCGAGGATCTACATGTTTCTGCCTACCCAGAGCACCACTATACCCTGCATTTTAATGTGAGACCTGGTTATCAAAACAGGTCCTCATAATTCTAAGGCAAGTGCTTTACTAAATAAGCCATCTCCCCAACACCAGCAATAGCCCATTTTACTGAAGCCCTTAGAAAAGGTAAAGATGCTATTGCAGTGAGATTCAGATAAATGACAGTTGTGGTGGTTTGAATGAGACAGGCACCCATACATAGGCTCTTACTTGAAAGCTTAGTCACCAGGGAGTGACACTGTTTGAGAAAACTTGTGGGAGGAGATGTGTCAGTAGGGTTGTGTGTCAGGGCCACACATTTTGGAAATCTATTCTATCCAGTCACAGTTCTGGAAAGCCCAGAATTTCTATTGTCTTTTAGATGTCAGCTGATAGCCACTGGATGGCCTGGCCTTAGTGGAGAATGGCTCCCATTCTAAATAATACTAGCCTTGGGCCAGAGGGAGTATACACCCACCCTGAAGGCTAGGGAGAGGTGCTGGTGTGGGTACCTGAGGGCTTGAGTACTGTACTGCTGCAAGGGAGCAGCTCTAGGAGTAAAGGAAATATCTGCTACAGGCCCTTTATACATGATAATAGTGTTAACTGATTGCCCTCCTGATATGACCAGATGTCTCTGTCTCTTCTTTTACATCTTGAAAAGTTAACCTTCCCTTATCCGTACTCCTCCACTCTAGGTCAGACCAGCTGTTTGGCTGGTTCCAATCACAGCCCCAAAGACATCAGCCCATGATAAATGGCCCCTGCAAAGAGTGGGTAACACAGACCAAACCCAAAAGTTAGGCTTTGGGGTTTCAATAGCCTAAGTTAGCACCCTCTTCCCCCAGCCAGCTGCCTGTAGATCTGGAGATAATGCTCAGAGCCAGGCCTTTCTGCTTCCTGCCTTGGTGATAATGGGCTAACTTTCTGAAACTGCAAATAACTCTCCAATTAAATGCTTTCTTTTATAATAATTGCCTTGGCCATGGTGTCTAGTCACAGTGACTAAGATGCTAGTTTTTTTTTTTAACAGTGATGTAAAAGTAATAGCAATTCAGTTGAAAACTTCCTGCAAACTTATCTTTTCTCAGGTTAGAAATATGTGGTACAATTATACTCTTGTGATACTGAACAGCTCCCAATCAGCCAGGCCATTATGAGGACAAACAGCTGATAATCCATAGTGTACTATATAATGCAAAACTATGATAACCAGTAGGGTAAATATATTAAACACATTTTTTACTTATGGTCTGTTCAATCTATGATAGGTTTATTCAAAAGTAGCTCCATTTAGAAGAGTACCTACACAGACTAATTCAACGAATTCTGAAATTATAAGGAAAAGCTTTAAGATATAGCAAGGCTAGTAAATTCAGTGGGAGTGAACAGATCCAAGTAGGCCCATATGAAATCAATGCAGGGTCATGACTTGAGCCCTAGCTGGAATTAACTCTATATTCTACTACACAGTACAGAAAGACACTGGCTACCTGCCACTAATACCATCACTGTGTCCATGAACACTACGGAACACAGTTGCTTTCCTGTTTCAATGTATTCTTTTGTCATCAGAGATGATGACACACTTAAAACAGGCATATATGGATAATAGTTCAGAACTGTTGCAGAGTTGCAGGATGTTTAAGAGAAAAAAATTCTCTGAGGGAGACTATAAATTCTTATACAATAAATAAAAGAGTAATGTTAAATATATGAAACCTATCATGCAAGTTCAAATGGCAAAGCTCATTACCTCATTAATAGACCTGCTACAGTTGAAATTAATTTTTCATGGAAAGAATAGCAAAAAAAAAAATCTCAGGAAGGCTTTCTCATCCTTGAATTAAAATTCTGGCACCAAAGCTATGAGAAAACCATTGGAAGTCTCTGTATGTTCACCAGTGAAGTCTCAAGGTGTTCACTTTTGTTTTTACTATTTTTATTTTATATTATTATTATTATTTTGAGACAGGGTTTCTCTGTGCAACAGAGATCCGTCTGCCCCTGCCTCCCAAGTTCTGGAATTAAGGCTTGCACAACCATGTCTGGCTAAGATGTTCATTTTTAATAGAACTTTTCACTTAGAATTCTTTCTGAGTTTATGATAGCTTCTGTAAATGGAAAAAAATTAGTTCAAACATTTTAGGATGAAAATAACACAATGGAATCAGACCAGCATACAATTAAGTGGTTACTAAAAAGGAAGGGACATTAATATTACAACATAAAAAAATTTAAAATAACACTGTCTACCTAGGTCCTTTTTGTCCCTCATGTAATTTAAATGCTGTCAGAATGTTGAAGACTTAATTTAGAAGACGGCAGAAATAAAACATTAGAACTTTTGATTATTTGTCATACTTAGTGTTTAAACTGAGTTTTCCCACAAAATTTCTCTACTTCACTAAATTCACCGATTGATGCTATTGCTCTACATGTAAAATGTTTCATGTGATTAAAAAACTATATAGAATGGCCAGGTGGTGGTGGCGCACACCTTTAATCCCAGCACTCGGGAGGCAGAGGCAGGCGGATCTCTGTGAGTTTGAGACCAGCCTGGTCTACAAGAGCTAGTTCCAGGACAGCCTCCAAAGCCACAGAGAAACCCTATCTTGAAAAAACAAAAACGAAACAAACAACAAAAAACCACAAAGCTATATAGAATGGCCTATATACTAGCTTATCAGGGTAAGATGAGTCCTTTCTATTGCAGTCGTTTGTACTGAAATGTTCTTACTAGTTCTCACTAGAGCCAGGCACTCAAAATATATATTATACTAAAATTACTGGAGCAACCCTATAAAGCAACTATGATTAGCTTCCTTTTAGAGACAAAATGGAGTCATATATGATGATTATATAAGCTATCCACTTTTATACAGCTAGGATCTGGAGGTAGCTTTAAAACAAGCATGCTGCATTAGTTTAATTTGTTGTAGGAGATCAGTAATTGATCAAAACACACAGAGTTATAGATTCTTTTCAGGAAGATTAATTTTGTCATTTTTAATTATGTGCATGCACGTGCCTGTCTGGGGGCAAGCGCACATGAGACACCTTCAGAGGGCAACAGATCACCTTGATTGGGATCATGAGCCAACAGACAATGGCTGCAGAGGAGGAGATGCAGGTCCTCTCTGCAGGACCAGGACATGCACTGCTGAGTCATCCTTCCAGCGCCAAAGATGTAGGGTCTTAACCAGTATTTTCTAGACTTGTTTCTATTCTTCATCAAAATCTCAACAAATCAAACCGGGATAACTTTTGCTTAAATTCTTTAGTTCACAACCTTTCAGAAAAAAGCAGAGCCCATGGACTTGTACTGCCCTTTAATCAGTTAAATAATAACCTCCGGGGCATTGAATTAGGATAAATAAAAGGTTTCATCAGTTATTAAAGCTATTTCTTCAACAACAATACATACAGAGAACTTACAAATTACCAACCTCAGTCATCAGCTATTGTTGCTTTATTAGAACACAAAGTACAGTTCAATATTTGATGGCGGTCATACAGAGAAAGCTAAGTTTTATTGAAAATCACAAGAGCCTGTGGTTCAGATAGAAATGATCTCTGAAGCAAGGAAAGGAATCTCACATGCATTGCTTATACAGCTGGTGTTCAGACTTAACATATTTGATATTTCAAATAATGTAATTGCAGAGGAAAAGATACAAGATGTTTTCCCAGAAAGGTCCAGCTGTGGGCTAAAGAGGGATGACCTGTGGCTGAGGAGTGGAGACAGGCCTGGCTCCTTTAACTATGACGCCAAGAACACTGCTTTTATTGTAAGTGAATCCTATATGGATTACAGACAGGAAAAGAAGCTGTATTGGAATTAACATGGGGAAAACAGTTTAGTTTCATATTCAAATCTATACATTTAAATAACACTAAAACTGCCCTCAAAACTGGGCAAATACCTTGAGTGTAGTTCTGTGCTGCCATTGTTGTATTTGCTTCCTCTTTCCCAGACACCAAAATCAGGAACACGGTAAACTCTTTCTACACAAAATACAAGGTTTTGGATAAAAGAGACCTAAGAGAAAAGAAAAGAAATGAGCATAAGAACACATACAACACTGAGAGGAATAATTACAGGCATTCTGAAATTCAAGTATGAACTTATCTTCCACAGTATGTCACTGTCTTCCTTTTCTTAAGACACGGCCTCAGGCACTCCATGCTAACCTCTAACTTTCTAAGAAGCCAAGGATGACCCTGAATTTCTCATTCTCCTGCGTCCACCGCCTGAGTGCTGTGGTTACATGCATGTGCTACGCGTAGTTTGGGGAAAGCTGGCTATCAAACTCAGGGCTTTGTGTACACTAAGCAATCATTCTCCCACTAAGATATATTCTGGGACCCCAAAGTACTTCTTTTTTTTACCGCCTTGAATTCTTGTGATTATTACATTATCATGAATCCCCCGCTATGCTTAGTTTTTCAAATATAATGCTAACTTTTGATGAGATCCTCGTTAGTATTATACAGTACAGAAATAAAATATAAATCCATTCAATGTTCCAACTATAATTCTTCAATGAAGTAATATCACTGTTTATGAGGGCTATGCATTGTAAGAACTAAGTAAAACACTGAACAGTATTTTATACTGGATAACATTTAGAAATTAAAATGACTATATGAAATACACACACATACATTAACTTTAAAGCTTTGAAGAGTAAAAGAATAACCTTTTAAGAAGTAAAAGGGGCTGGGCAGTGGCAGTGCACGCCTTTAATCCCAGCACTAGGGAGGCAGAGGCAGGCGGATCTCTGTGAGTTCAAGACCAGCCTGGTCTACAGAGTGAGTTCCAGGACAGCCTCCAAAGCCACAGAGAAACCCTGCCTCAAACCTAAAAGGGATTTTTCTTTTCTGCAAAATTCTGGTCCCATGTTGATCAACCTAGACTTTTCAGTCCATGCTTCTGGAAAGTAATTTTCCTTTCTGCCGTTTGTGTAACTATAGATCCTGATTATAAACTCAGCTGGAAGTCATGCAGGACAATTGAGACTGGAGAGAGCTAGACTGAGAATAGCATAAACGGAGCCACCTGGCAGCATACTGAGCCTTCTCCACTTCAATCTTACAAAGACAGCAACTTCGCATAGTCAGTCTGATTTCTTTTCCATTTCTGTTTTCTTCAATCTTTTTCTGACGATAAAGCTGATATGAATCTTTATCCAACTGGTCACCCTGGTTAATCATCCTTCCTGGCTTTAGCTAGTCACCTAATTCTTCTTCTTTTAGCCCTGACTTGTGGACCTTGTATCATTATCAACGTAATCAGGTTTATTAAGGAATGGACCTCCATGGTCCAACTGATGGTTTCAAAGCAGCAATACAAACCTGGAAACCTGGAGGAAGCATCTCCAGGATTTGAGATGATGCACCATTCAAGGGAGGAATGAGAGGGTCAGGCAAATATCATGACAGGCCCCGAAGATCTCAGTTAAGAACTAGGCCTCAGCTCATAAACAAAGGGCAACCAATCACCAATGCCCCCCCTGACACTGATGAGGCATGTAAGTCTGGGCTAACAGCCTCCCACCCCTCCCACCCCGTGCAGATTTGTCCAACAACAGAAAAGCTATAGCTTTGCTGCCCCACCCCACTAGCCCTAACCAACTAGAAATGTAATATGATTGTCACTTTTGTAAACCAATCCTAAGTAGAATGGTCACACTGCTTTTAATATTCCTGAAGCTGTGCTTAAAAGGAACTTACATGTCCCTCTCAGGGTGGTCACCATTTTGTATAGATGCCCTACCCACCCCACATGCATGTGGTATAGTAAATGCTCTTGGTGATTGCATTGTGACTGGTGGTTTTTTTGGAGACTTCTCAAGGATCCTAATGAAAACCAATGCCTTGTGCATGGTCTTAAGTGGTCCTTTCAAAATCTTTGGAGGTGATATTCTCCAGTTCCCAATCACTAATGAAAGCAGTGAGGTCATCCATTTTCTACAACATTTAGTGAGAAATGCTTTATGGATCTTGACTGTGTCCTGATTTTCACAGGGGGCCTTCAGGCCCTTCTTCGTCTACCCACGTTCCTCGCACAGTTCTCCGCATTAACTAACCTCGGACTGGTGCCTTGGGCCCCCAGTGGTTCAATCATGTTAGTCTTGCTCATTTCTAACTAAAACACTTTTTTCAAACTGAATTTTTCTTCAGCCTCAATTCTAAAGGATGAACTAGCTAATAATTAAGCCACAGCCACAGCTCGTTATCTTTCTGTTTCATATGTTGCTCTCCACCACCTCTAATTGGCAGCTCCTCTTGTTTGTAGCTATAAAGTACCATAAGCTCTCAACCAGTTTCTTTCCTCTTAACTCACTCTTCAGCATAACCCGAAAGTGAAATGAGATTTCTGCCTATGCATTCCATTTTATGTAACTAGTCATATTAGAAAAAATTAATGTGATAACTCTGGAGTTCTCTCTGTAACCTTTCAGGAATTATTATATATCTAATAGTATTGCATTTAAAACTACATTAAAGTTACATGTGTGCATGCATGAGTATGTATATATGCATGAGCATATGTGTATGGGTGTCTGTGTGTCACAATAAGCATGTGGAGGGCAGACGACAACTGTGGAAGTAGAAAACTATTTCCCACTATGTGAGTGCCAGGGATCCAACTCAAGGTGCCATGTACCTCTACACATTAAGACATTTTGCTACACCTCTCCCCCTTATTATAAAGACAGAGAATACTGCTGAACTGTGAAAACTGCAAGCCACCTTGGAAGTCTTGGGCTGCAGCACTCTCTGCATCAGCCTTGCAAGAGTTGGGTCTACAGGAATATATCACTAGACCATGTACCCCTTTTAAATAAAATTGACTTTGAGATCTCAAATATACCTAATTGCAAAGGATTCTGCAAATAAGGAGCTACAGACCTGCATAACTCCCCTGACTCAGAAATATAAATCCTTGTGGTTTTCACATGAATGTATCAACAGATGGACAGATGAGAATATAGGCCCTCAAGTTATAATAAACTGAATGGATAGTGAAAATGTGATCTAGATAAACAATACTATCCAACTGTGGTAATGTATTTTTTATGATCTAATAAAGCCACTGATCAGAATGCAAAGCTAGCCACAGTCATGGAAGCTGGGCAGTAGGAGACAGGGAGTAATATGGAAAAAACTGTAAAGTAGCTGTCAGAAAAACAGACATGCCAACCAGCTGGGGAATGGCCACAGCATGGCAGTAGCAGCACCAGCAGAAGCCGGGAGACCCCCCTCTTGGGGCATTCAGGAATGGCAGCCAGCCCAGGAAGAAGACTCTGCTTAAAAATGATATCCGTGATCCCTAGTGGCTCGGCAACCTGAGACCCTCTGTGAAGCACATTATCAGCAAACTAATTGGGACAGGCCTTTTGCTGAAACCTGACACAGAATACAGAGTGCACCAAAAAAAAAAAAAAAAAAAAAAAAAAAAACCCCTGGAGTCAGATGTGCACAGCATTCAGTGAGCTGAAAACTGTGAGATCAAAGGAAACTTCACACTCTTCCTCACAAGACACTGAAGAACTGCACACTGGCAAGTCTATAATCCTAGCCAGGGCCCTGAACGAAATCACAGAGAGGAGAAGGAAACAAAAGGATAAAAGATGGAAGGGAGAAACCAAAGTATCCTGATTTGCAGACACAATGATTGTATATATCAAAACCCAAAGACTCCACTAGAAAACCAAGAGCTGACACTTTGAACAATATGTCAGGATGCAAACTTGACATATAGGAAATTCATAGCCTTCCTACTGACCAATGACAAACATGCAGAAGATGCAATCAAGAAAGAAGTTCTGTTCAATAGCCTCAAACAAAAAAAAAAACCTAAACAAATAAAAAAGTTGAAATAAACTCCACCGAGGCAGTGAAGACTTGTACAGTGAAAAGAAAACCTTAAAATATCAAAAGGAAGATGCTAGAAGATGAAAAAACCTCATGATCGTAAATTAGAATGACATTGTGAAATGGATGTACCACAAAAAGCAGTCTACAGGTACAGTGCCAATCCCCTTCAACAGTCCACACCATGCCTGCAGAAAACCACAGAGAACAATCCTAAGGTTAACACAAAAACACAAAGACAGGTTGTCAAGGGAAGCTTTTTTCTTGAGAGAAGCCTTCCGGCCAGCCTGGTTCTAGAGCCGCATCAGTCCCAAAGAAACACACAGGAGGCTATATTAATTATGAAGCTGTTGGCCTTGCTTGTTTCTTACTGGCTAGCTCTGACTTAAGTAATTACCCCATAATTGTTAATCTAAGTATTTCTCTTACCGGAGAATAGTTCTGGGCTTCCTACCCCATGGTGTTACATCTTGACTCTTGTGTTTCTCCTACCCAGAGTCCTCTGGACTCCTAGTCCCTCCTATCTTGGTTCCCTATTGGCTCAACAGTGCTTTATTGACATAAGACTTCCCCAACAACAGGTAAAGCAAGTAAGCACTGTGACAAGTACAGACACTCTCTGTACTTCGAGGACTCACTGTGTTACGAGAATTGTAAATCGGTTTCCAGTACAAAGTACAAGGCAGATTTTAAAGAGCCTCTAATAAAATATGAAATGTCTCTTTAATCTTTCAAATGAATTATACACCAAAATATTACAACAGACTCCATATTTATCAACATACTACCAAAGTAACTTTATCTGTCATTCTCATGCTGTTACTAGCAAGTTGTAAATTACCTATGTGGTTTCTCTCTATAGAGAAAGATTCTTAGCCTCCTTGTTCATCTAATAGTCATCCCGAACAGTACTGGCATGAACAACAGTGTGTTGGGGGACTTTTGGTATTTCTGGAAAAAAAAAAAAAGACTACATTTGACGGAAAGAATCTAATATTCCTCTTCTGTTTTAATTAACCTTTAAGCGTCTTGCCACTTTTTTTTTAAGCAGCTTGAGATAAAAAACAAATCAAGCTGATCCTCCAGGCATCTATAATAAGATGACAAAAATAAGTACTTGTTTATTTAAGACACTGAAGTCATATGAAAAAGATGAGT